ATTATGGGGATACGCTATGCTAACAACTTGTTAATAACAGGGTTACAAATGAGAGGAAAAAGATAACTCCCTATAAATTGTGGTACAAAAAGAAACTACACTTAGGATATTTGAAAGTTTCGGGCTATCGAGTCGTTGTAAGACTAAATGAACCGAAAAGGAAAAACTTGGGTGAAAGAGGTATATATTGCATCTTTATTGGTTATGTTGAGCATTCCAAGACATATAGGTTCTTTGGTTTAGAACCTAATGGTTATGTTTTAGTAATTCCTATTATAGAATCAAGAGATGCAATATTTGATGAAAATCATTTTTCATCTATACCTAGACCAAGAGACATGCTTCTTATTTCCAGTGGAACAAACAAGGAATATGAAGTTGTACCTAATTATGAGGAATCAAATGAGTTTCGAAGAAGAAAAAGAGAAAGAAAAGCTAAATCATTTGGATATGATTTTCAACGGGATCTAGAGATGAAATTGCAAATCAATATTCATATTGTTTTAGTGTTGAAAAAGATCCTTAAACATTTGAGGAAGCAATGAGATCTCAGGATGTTGCTTTTTGGAAAGAAGCAATAAATGATGAAATGGATTCCATCATGGGAAATAATACTTGGGTTTTATCTGATCTTCCTCATGGGTGCAAACCTTTGGGATGCAAGTGGATTTTCAAGAGGAAGATGAAAGTTGATGGATCAACTGATAAATTCAAGGATCGATTGGTTATTCAAGGTTTTAGACAAAAGCTTGGGATTAATTACTTTGCTACTTATGCAGTTGTTGCTCGAATTTCTATTATTAGATTGTTGATTACCTTAACAACAATTCATAATCTAATGAATCACCAAATGAATGTTAAAACTGCATTCTTGAATGGTGATTTGGATGAAGATGTGTAAATGAAGCAACCTGAGAGTTTTGTTATGCCTGGAAGTGAGCATAAAGTATGTATATTCATGATGTAGGCATCTGTTATGTACATTAAGTACCCTCTTTTGGCGCCATTTTGGGGTAACCAACATTTAACCACTTTTCCTTCTTTGTTTAAATGAAAGGAAAAAATTCCAGGAAAAAGGTTGATCATTCACATATACGAAATTGATCATTAACATCTCTCTGTCTCTCACATCACAAGATATTCTATTTTTATCATTTTGGATTAGGCTTGTAATATTATAGAACTTTTGAATTCATGTAACCCGATGTTATAAGGGATGAATTACAGATTTCAGAAAGTGATACAATCACGATCCAATTAATATCCAAGTATTATTGTTAATCTGAAACCTTTATTTCTAACATCCCGACGTCCTTCGTGTGGAGATCTTCACCAAGGGTTAAACCACAAATCCCTTGGAACATAAGCTTAGTTGTTCTCGATAAACTTTTAAGTGTTGTAATAATGGATGACGAACTATTGGACAACAACTATTATAATAAAAATGCGTGTACTATTAAAATTTTTTAATACCAACTAAGACTAATAATTATACCTTCATTCATATTTGTGATCTATAACAATGATACCTTTTGTTAGTGTTGCACAACTTGTTAAATCCAAATATGGTCTTTTTGTTGACGATATTGTAAGGTACATTATCCAAGAAAGTTAATCTGACTACACCATGACTTGTATATATAACATACTTTATCATCTTGCCTGATTTTATAAGTTTGTGCTACGATGACGTTTCATGAATATTTTTCTAGTACATGTAATCCTCATTGTGCATCTTTGAAAAACCAAAGTCGTGGCCATCAAATTTGTTGATCAAACTTCTGCTACATAAACGTCCAAATTTAATATTAATTTGAAGAGCATGAAAGGTTTATTTTAAGGAATAAACTTATCATCAAGGAAAATTTACAGATATACGAGACTACTATAAATACTAAAACCCAAAGATAATTCCCCCGTAGTCAAATATGGGTTAGTAGAAATTCCATAAAGGTACGCTTCTTTGTTTCCAGTTTTTAACTGTTGGGTCAAAACCCTAAGAACGATTTGATGAACAAAATGCGGAAAATAAGAACGAACACAATTATGATATGTCGAATGATCAAACGATTTATTCATGAACATGAGGAATACATTACACTATAAGAATAGACTAAAGAATCTAACTCTACCTAAGAAACCTCATTATGTTTGGCGGCTACATTTTCCTCACTCTTGACCCTAATTATGAATAATACATGACAATATATAGGGAATAAGACAAATCTTGGGCTTTTAACCTACACTTCATCAAGGGGGACCATTGCCATAATCCATGGAGTACTTTGAACCCAACATTCTCCCCATCAAAGTATGGAATAAATGACAAGGCTTCAACTTCCAAAACAAACATCTAGCAAATAAGAAAAGATCTCACAACGAGGAATATCAAAAGCGATCCACGAATCGTGATTCTTCAATAGTCTTCAAAAACGGGTTCTAGGATATATATAAAACAAGCACTGAAGTAACGTTTTTAAACTTCATTTTCTAATGTAATCTCAAAGATCTTCAAGAAAGCCAAACCCGCCATAAAAACCCATTTCAGAATTAAGAAACAAAATCACTTCTTGTCTTTGAAGAACTCCCCCTCCAAGTCACAATGATCTTCAAATAAGCTAATGATATAAGCCACCAAAAAATATCATGTAACAACCCAAATTTAAGATTCGTAACGCCACTTGATCGAGAAAATACTAGAAGTCGGAGATATATCAAGTCTTTAGACGAGCTCGATGAAGAGCTACTTCTGTAAAAGCTACTTCTCTGTAAAAGCTTTAGATGAGCTCGATGAAGAACTTCTTCTGTAAAAGCTACCTTCATATTACTACCACAAGTTTCATCAAAAAATTTAAATTTGAAAAGTCACAATCTAATTTCGAATGGCCATATCAAATTCTCCCCTATTTATAATAAAAAACGTGATTATAAAACCTTCAAATGGTCATGAGAATGATCTTGAATGGATAAACAAATACTATGCTCCCCCGCGACAAAATGAAATAAACATTGAAGTTTAAAATCCGAAAAAGTCAAAAAAATTTGACGTTATTGTGAAAAACGACTTTCCGAACCGCCAAGACTTGTTGGAATCCATAATTTTCTGTTCACAAAAAAATATGCTTATTAAAAACCCAAGTATGTTCATCAGCCCTAAGATTTGCAAACAATTCTGAATATTGGGCACAAACTGTCACTTGCTGAAAGTTAGGGGACTGAAATGGTAAAACAGCATCATTTTCCACTTGACTTGTAACAATTTCTGGAAATTAAATTAAAATTGCCAAGTTGGTGAAGTTACAGGGACCAAATGTGTAAAATAGAAGTCATCTTCCCCATTTGATTAAATAAGAACTCCGATCAATAGTAACTCCGATTGCGATTGGGATTTGAGTTCCGATTCCGAACCTCACACTTGCGATTCCGACTCCGAGTTTAGCAATTCAGTTCCGAATCCTAGCCAGCGGGAACTCCGATTCCGAGTCCATTCGAAATCCCGATTGCGAGTCGGTTCACAATTTCAGTGCGAATCAAAGTCAATCCCCGAATCCAAGCATTCCAAACTCCGAATCAATTCCAAACTCCGAACAATCGGTTCCGAATCCGGTCTTAATTTTGAAGATCGTGGGGGATATGAGTGCGAGCCATACACCGATTCAGAGACCGTTCGCAGATGAGTCCGTTCGCAACAATTCCAATTTTATCTGTTACCAGCAATTGCGAACATATGTTCACAGTATTCCGATTAACCCCAACATTCCAAACACAGGCTCGATTCCGATTGCAAATATGAGTTACGATTCCGATTGCAAATATGAGTTACGATTCCGAATCCTGGTAGATGCTAAAACGAAAGCGAGACAATTTCAACTTGCAAAGGTGTCAAGTTCCGTTTTTCTTTCATTATTCTGATCACACTTGCAGCATCGATTCAGTTTCATTATTGATTTTGACTTTTCGGTTTGACTATATGAAAACCAATTCTGTTCATCGTTCTTCATTCCTTTTATATCGATCCTTTAATCTTTAAACAATCTGTTCAACAATATGAATCCCAGTTAACATCGAATGGCAATTTTAGACCCATTATCACAATCGATCATACACAGATTACAAGCGATGATTTTCGTTCACTAAAACAAGCTACGATAACAAAGTCTATTAGGTCTAACAAAATCGATTTTAAGATCAAAACTCAAGAGCAAAATCGAAACAATGGGCAAATCAAATAGAAATCGAAAGTTAAGAAATCCAGCAAATCAAACAATGAACAGAAGTCGACAACGCTAAATCGACATGAATATGAATGAATGAGGGATTTTGACTTGTGAATTAGAAAGCTGTTGGATCAAATGATGAACAGATGTCGACGGTAATGGGCTCGAGAAACAATTGGGCCATGATTGGCTGAATATAATAAATTAGAGGTAGAAAACAAAACAGATCCAGAAAAAAATAATGAATAAAATAACAGAATACATAAATCTCCATGAACAGTAGCTTGAACAAGAATCTTGATTTCAAACCGCCAAAACACCAAAAATCTTCAATAACTTGTGCAGAAAATCATCAAATCAAGAACCGATACTTCAAAAATCAACAGATCTTCAAAGACCCGCTCTGATAACACTTGTTGGGTCAAAACCCTAAGAACGATTTGAAGAACAAAACGCGGAAAATAAGAACAAACACAATTATGAAGATATGTCGAATGATCAAACGATTTATTCATGAACATGAGGAATAAATTACACTATAAGAATAGACTAAAGAATCTAACTCTACCTAAGAAACCTCATTATGTTTGGTGGCTACATTTTTCCTCACTCTTGACCCTAATTATGAATAATACATGACAATATATAGGGAATAAGACAAGTCTTGGACTTTTAACCTACACTTCAGCAAGGGGGCCCATTGCCATAATCCATGGAACACTTTGAACCCTACATTAACAAGTCCATGTTCTCTTCAGCCCCATGTCGACTTGCCCATGGATGTTAAGTAAACTTCCATAAACCTTCAAGTTGAATTGCCACTTCTTTCTGCGTAGGCCTCTCATCAGTAAGATTAACACATCTTTTCACAAGCTCATAAATTTCTTGAAGTTGATCTAGTGTTCCTTCCTTTACAACTGTAGGCTCAAGAATTTGAAATAATCGTTTCTTTTTTAATGACACTATAAAATACGTCACTAAATTCCTTTCTTCCCCACTTCTGTCCATACACAATGACTTTTTCCCGGTTAAAAGTTCAACCAACATAACTCCAAAGCTATAAACACCACTCTTCTCGGTTAATTGACTTGTTTGGAAGTGCTGAGGATCTAAGTACCCCAATATCCCTTGAACGGGCATTGTTACTTGTGTTTGATCTATTGGTACTAATCTTGACGCCCCAAAATCCGCGATCTTTGTGGTGTACTTTTTTGTCTAATAATATATTTGCGGACTTCACGTCTCGATGAATCATAAGGGTCGATGTGGCCGAATGAAGATACGAAAGTACAGTAGCAGATTCCGCAGTTCCTCGTAAACAATGCTTCGATGATAACCAACTTATCATGCCTTTATCATGAATATGATCGGAGAGAGTTCAATTCGAAATATATTCATTAGGGTCGTGCATGGGTTGGTTTGAGTTGGTTTTGGACCCAAAACTGAACCCAAACCGAAAATGGTCGGTTGGTGGTTTTCAAAACCCAATAGGGTCGGTTTCTAGTCGGTTCAGTTTCTTGGGTTCTGAAGTCGGTTTTGGCGGTTTTCCGGTTTCTTGGGTTCAACCCATATTCTTAATAAAGATTAAAAGTGAAGGCTGTCAACAAGGCCCAATGTCCGATATTCTTAATTAAGTAGATTAAGGGAAACAAGTAAAAAAATACAATAACATACTAATATACATTTAAGCTGTAATCAGATTAAGGTAATCTACATTCATAAAATATAATGATCTAAATGTTGTATTGAACAAAAACTTTATTTAATTCAATATATCATGACCCAAAATCAGATGATTCATAAATGAGATGATCCAAATTACTATGATACAAAATGATATGATCCATATTTTTATGATCCAAAATAATATGATCCAAAATTTTATGATCCAAAAAGATATGATTCAAATTTTTATGATCCAAAAATAATATGATCCAAAATAGTATGATGCATAATATAGTTATCATTCAAAACTTTCTATAATTGTTAAATATCAAAAACTCGAACTGATATTTAATTAAAAAAATTTTGATAGAAAATTAAAAAAAACAAAAAGAAACACAAGAAACCTCAAATGCGTAGTATAAATGTTAAAGAAAATAAATAAAAACAAAAAAAAACAAAAAAATATATAAAACAAAAAACACGTAAAAAAAAACTAAAAAGTTGAGCATATGTTGATCCTAAAAGCTTTAAAAAAAGCGAAAAATTATAAAAACAGCAAAACCGAGTATATATGCCTCTAATCGAATTTTCTTTTAAATATATATTTTTTTTTTAAAATTTTTTTAGAAAAGGGAAAAAGATAAGAAAAACCCATTTAATTGACGTTCCATGGATGTTCGTCGCACATGATTATTCCCTAGAGTCCGTATTACGTTCCACTGACTTGCGTCGAATGCTAACGCGTCATGAACTAGTAATTGTGTTTGACGTTTGTGCCATTGATGAAATTGGGTGATGGAGAATTGTTCTCATGGTTCCTATCGGATCCGGACTACATATAT